TTAAAAAATCGATTCATCCAACAAAAAACAAACAAACGAAAAAGTAACAACAAAAAACTCAAACCCCTCAACAATAAAAACAACATTAACAACTCCAAGAAAAACAAAACAAACGACAATAACAAACTTTCTTTCCTCCAGCATGATGAGGTCCCGCCTGAGCCGCATGCCCAAGCTGCTGGTCCTTGTGACGTGTCTGGGGCTGTGGGTGCTCCTGTCGCTGGTCGCTTTTGGGGGTCTGCTGGGTCGTCACCTCAGGTGAGTCAGTCAGTGGTTAGCCAGGGGTCAGTGGTAATTTTTTGTATGTCTGGGGCCATGGGTGCTCCTGTCGCCGATCACTTTTGGAGATCTGCTTGGTCGTCACCTCAGATAAATGAGTCAGAGGTCACTCAATGGTCACTTTTGAGTGTCTTGGGGTCCTGGGTGCTCCTGTCGCTAGTCACTTTTTTTTTCGAGGAGGGGGGGGGGGGGTCTGTTGGGCCGTCACCTCAGGTGAGTCAGTCAGTGGTCAGCCTGTGGTCAGTAGTAATTTTTTGAGTGTCTGGGGGCTGTGGGTGCTCCTGTCGCTAGTCACTTTTGGGGGTCTGCTGGGTCGATGGCCCAGTGGTTAGACTACCAGACTCGTAACCATGAGGTTGCGGGTTCCGGGGTTTGAGCCGCGGGCCCGACGCTGTGTCCTTGGGAAAGGCACTTTACACGAATTTTCCTCACTTCGCCCAGGTGGGAATGGGTACCTGGCCATAGACAGTGAAAGATTTTGTCTGTATGTTAGTGTTTTAGTGCCAAAAATGGCGGCTTGCACTGTATGCTTCGCAGGAAGTTGAGGTTGTTTCAGAATGCTCTCAGGCCTGCTGGGGTAATAGTATAGATTGTGAGCGCATAGAGCTTGCTGTTGAGCGGGGATTTGTGCAATACAAATGCTATCTATTATTAAATATTATCACCTCTGGTAAGTCAGATAGGGGTCATTTGTCATTTTTTGAGTGTCTGGGGCTGTTGGTTCTCCTGTCGCCGGTCACTTTTGGAGATCTGCTCGGTGATCACCTCAGATAAGTGAGTCGGTGATCAGTTAGTGGTCACTTTTGGTAATAATAATAATGATAATGATAATAAAAATAGTAATAATGATGATAATAATAATTAATAATAATAATAATAATAATATCAATGAAATGATAATGATAGTGATGACACTAATAATTATGATGATAATGCTTTAATGATTATAATGATGATGATAATGAAAATGACAATATAAATATTTATTTATACATACATTCATATATGATGAGTTAAGGCTTTTTGATCAGTTCTGCAATAATTCTTTACAAAAAGCTGATTTTTAAAGACATTGACAGACATACTAAAAGTTGTAGCCTTGCACTGTGATTTTATTTGTTCTGTGTTATCTTCCAGCTTTTGGCAACAGTCTGATCAGTTGGAGGACAAGAAAAGGCTTCTTGGAGTCCCCGGATCTCCCTACAGTTATGCGAAAGCCGAAATATTTATGGATTTTCCGTCTGTGGGGAAAAAAGCTGGAGAAGAGAAACTGCCCAACTTGGGTCCACTTCGAGAGATTCTGGATGATGAGGAGGATATCTCTCAGAGGTAAACAAGACATGATTGGTCTATTTGCAGATTGATTGATTACAGCTTTCATTTTGTGATCGTTTTAAAAAACTTTTTTGTAAGTATAGGTTGTTTTACGTCTCCATCGATACAATTTAGACCGTCAAGGAGGCAAGCTTTGAACTGTTTTTCTGGACCATTTCGGGCTGAGACTGATGCAACCTCCCAGCAGAAAGACTACCCTCCCAGGAATCAAACTCGGGTCTTATTCCTCCAACAGCAAAGCTCTTACCCACTACATCATAGATGTTGGTTTTATGGTTATGAGTGTGTTTATAGACAATTACCACAGATTATGAAAATAAACTGCAGGCAACAGAAAAATATAAGTCTTTTTTGGAAGACTGTTGAAAATTAAATTTGTTGGATGAAAAAGAAATTGAACAAGGTCCTACTTACAGTGACAGAAACCAATGTGAATGGTTACTGATAAAAACAATTACGAAGAGACAAATGCCGATTCAAGGACACTTGAACTGACATAAAGTAACGGTCTTGAACGTCTTGCTCTCAATGGAAGAATAGATAGCAAAAGAGGTTGAGGTAGGTAAATATCTTGCATAGGGACCTTGAGCATGGGTGAAGGGACAAGACCAAGATAGCCTCAACACTCCCAAATCAGACACACATCTTCTACATGTGACAGCAAAGTACCTCACTACTACACCAGAGACACCAGATGGGAGTGCATGGGTGAGTGATGACTTGTAATGTAAGGCAGTATTCAAAAAGAGTCTAAACACTTTCAATTATCATTATTGTTTCTCCTGAATTTAGTATGAATTTTCACATTTTGGCTTTATAAAAATACTGTGAAGTCCGCTTATTAAACCGAGCACGCTTAAGACTTACAGACAGTACCGAAGGCTCATATAGTGAAAAACCCTTGGGTACCGCACCAGTTTAGAAGCCGTGCTAGAATTTTTTAAATTAGAAAAAACATTGGCAGCCCAAGAAACACGTTTTAAAAATTCAGAACGGTTCATCAACCCTTCAGCTATCATATAGAGTGACTTCCTTTGATATTTACTTCAATGCAGTGCGTCCATTCGTTGTTTATTTTTATGTTTAGTGTGTTTGGTTGAGTCGGCGACTAGAGTCGCCAGCAGTAGTGAGCGCATACTACGGACTGGCGACTAAAATCTCCGACAGTACTGTTAGTGTTAATCCAAGAACAGAGATAAAATACGGGGAAAAAATCCTTGATTTAAAAAAAAATCTTCTTTTTGAGCAACTTGTCTAAACTGAAAACCAAGCTAAACAAAAGGAAATCTGAGGTCCTGCAGATTTCTGTCACAGCGGACTCTAATGTATCTTTGACTTTGATGTGCTGCAAGAGCTGTTGAAACATCTGACTTGTTTTTTGGCATAACTCAGACTTGTGTCAAAATACAATTAGCCTTTTATTTTGTTTGTTGGTACTCTATCAATCTTTTGGCAAAACTAAAACAAAAATGTGTTGGGTGTCACAAAGCAAACATGCATGGCAAGTTTTACCATTTTTAGATTAATAAAATGTCTAGTGAAACAGTTTTCTCTGTTTATCTCAACAGTAGTTAAAATAAGTTGTGCCATTTTGCTAGCGCAGTAATGATAAGCTTTTCTCATCTGTTGGTTCTTAAGTTGTTGTTTTTGTCCTGGGTTTTTTTTCAGCAGAAATAGCAAAGAAGAGGAAATGGAGTCTCAAGATAGTGTGAGGGTTCGTGCTGCTAGGCGCAACTCCGTCCCTAAAATGATCGACTTCAATCCACGGTTTGGTGCAGAGAAAAGGTTCACCTTCAGTAAGTGTGAGCGGAAATGTGCAATGACATCACACGTGGATGAGGCTGACGTAGTTATGTTTAATGCAGTGTGGGTGAGGAACACGACGCTGCCAACCCGACGACCAGGTCAACTGTGAGTTTATCATCATCATCATCATCATGGTCATCATCACCATCATCATCATCATCATCATCATCATCATCATCACCATCATCATCTTCACCATCACCATCATCATCACCATCACCATCATCGTCACCATCACCATCATCATTGTATAAAAAGAAGAGTAGGAGGGAGAGTATTGCTTGATTTACAGACAAATAATATAAAAATAAAATGTCTAAAATTTGTTTTATTCAATCATGATGATGATGATCATCACCACCATCACCATCACTTATCATCATCATCATCATCATTATCGTCATCACCATCACCATCATCATCATCATCATCATCATCATCATCATCATCATCATCATCATCCTACCCCAGTGGGTCGGGGGGATATAAATAGACCCACTGCTTCGTCTGCAGAAGGTGCAACCCCTTCAAAGGCGAGGTGTCGCACTCGGACCCCAATCCTCTGAGATCCGGATGCGACACCTACTTTGGTGTATCTTCCTCTTCTCCTTCCTTCTTTCTTTC